GAAAGGGCTGGAGGGAGGCAGCATGTCTGGCCTTGTAGGAATAGGCCTTGGGTTACTGCTGGTAATCCTATCTTCCTCTTGTGGGATTAGAGGAAGTCAGAACATGTGGCCTCCTCTCCGTTTTTGCAGCTGCTGATGAAAGTGATCTTAAGAAAGTACTGGTATTTGTAGGTCTGGGATCTATAGTAGCCTTAGAACATGTTTCTTTTCAACATCTACTGTAGTGTAAGATTACAAATACAATTAAATATTCAACAACAGAGAAACAGCCAATTAAACCATAATCTGCCAATTGTTTAAATGATAGTTAAAGATTATGAAAAAAGAAAGAAGTTGTAATTTAGTGACTGGTAAGAATATATAGATCAGTCCACTATGTTTACAACTATGTTATAATCTCAGTTAAACGAAATAGTAAAAGGGAATAAACACTACACAATAACAATACTTAAATTAGGTTAATGGAATTACAGATAATTTTTCAATTCTACATGTTTGAAATATTTTATACGGTATTAATATTACCTTCACAAATAAAAAAAGTCAAGATAAAAATGGACTGCTAAATAGAAGAGGGCACAGCTTCCAACTCATTTCAAGATGCCAGCATTACCCTGATACCAAAAAACAAGGACAATGCAAGAAATGAAAATTATAAACCCTGTATTTCTCATTAATAGAGGTGCAAGAATCTTTAACAAAATATTAGGAAATCAAGTCCAGGAATATATGAAAAGGATAATCAAGTAGGGTTTGACTCAGGAAAAACGTAATGCTGAAATCTAGTTACAAACACAAGAGCAAGTATCACGTTTTGGTATTTGTCTTACAAAACTGAATTAATGACAAAGGCTAGTTCTGATCCACTTGATCATAAGATTATCTGTATCATATACCGGGCAAGTATATAACTCTGAAATATCTGCTATAAAATATCTCAATCAAGTTGATTTTAAAAGTGCTTTCTTTAAAATAATTGAGTATGTCAATTTAAGGTACATTCATAATAAAATATATTCATCCAACAAATTGATTCTACGATTAGAATTAAACTACAACATATTTGACTTAAAAGATAAAATCCAATGTATCTTAATATTACAGTCATAAACCTCAAGTAAGAAACCGCTTCATGAACATCCTTAAGTAGTATGGTAGGTGATATACCCTTATTTTGCAAACCTACTTAGAAAATGGGTGTAAATATTTAAAGCAGCCTATGTACTGGTATTCTTTCAGAATACAGAGAATTCTGACAAAAACAGAATTTCTCTTTTAATAACTTCGGATTTTACTTTCCTTCAACTTTTATCCACTGTCAGTACTGCTGCGGTAATAAAGAGAACTACATCTTATAAAGGAGCTCTGGTAGCATAGTGGCTAAGGTACTTGACTGCTAACCAGAAGGCTGGCGGTTCAAACCCACCAGCCACTCCTAGGAAGGAAGATGGGGCAATCTACTTCCGTAGAAATACTGCCTCGGAAACCCAAGGAGGGATCGCTATGAGTCAGGTCTGACTTGACGGCACATAACAACAACAACACCACATCTTATACATATCAATTTTGCAAATTCCTGAAAACAATCTCCTCCCCAAGACATATCTGAGTTCTCCCAGTCATTGGTCATATGATAAACTATAAAATTTCATTTTTTTCTTACCAATTACTTTCTGCAAAAGTCAAACATTTTAAGCAAATGGGTTAAAACACAGTACCACAGTCCCGCAGAAATATGCAAGAGACAGGTATTCATTCTAGCTGTCAATCATCATGAATCAAAACATACAAGTTTTTCTCCCCCAAGTAAAAACCACCTATGTAAATAAATATTTTACATCTACAACAAAAAATTACTAGTTGTAAAAAGCAGAAATAACTGAATATAAAACATTTAAAATTTTTAAGCAACTGGATTCCTACAAGATTGATCAGCACTAAAGAATTGAATCCTTGTCAAAAAAATTCACCTAGATATAAAACATACGTTGCTGTTGTTAAGTGCTGTCCAACTCACAACAACCCTACGTACAAGAGAATGAAACATTGCCCAGTCGTGAGCCATCCTCACATTCCTTGCTATACTTGAGCGCATCATTGCAGCTACTCTGTCAATCCATCCTGTTGAGGGTCCTCCCTTTTTCTCACTGACCCTCCACTTAAAAAATATACACATATGTAAACAGTAGTAATCTGCAAAAACAGTATTACTTGCAGAAATATATGCTTTCTCTGGACCGTTGAAAAAAAAATTGTATCTTAGAGAAAAAACACTGTTTATCTTAGCTTTTAGCTTTGACATGTCTTAAAAAAATGTTGTTAAACCTTGTAAGGCAGCTATAAAAATCATTTACTATGCTATCTTTCTTTGAGTGTTCACAGTAAAACTGAGAAAGAGGACTATGTATTATATATTTTGTGTTAGTGAAACCACAGTAATTAAGGACTTGCAGAGAGGTTATAGCAGAAAAGGTCCCTAAGGAATCACATATTTTGAAAAGAAGTTTAATGACTTTAAAGTATACAGTGCCTGGATTCAAGTTTCTATATCCTAAGAATATTGGAATCAAACCTATAAAAGTCAACTTTCATAAATGGACAGGAATAAAATGTAGTTAGTAAATTAAAGAACTCAATCAAGAACAAGCTGGTAAGTGTCTAAAATACTAGGACCTAAGAAAGTTGTAAATGGTTTATGGTGATACCATGTTACTCTAAAAAGAAAACTTTTCTGGAAAATAAAATTTTTAAAATTTATGTTTCCAAAGAAGAGTTAATCTTTTCCTTCAAAAAAAAAAAAAAAAAATTCAACATTCTAAAATGAAAAGAAAGAAGTAGACATTTAGTGCTTAATTCTTACCTGGAACCCACTTAATTTCCATTTCCATATCATTTTCTTTGCCTTTCTTTTCTTTTTCTTTAATAACATGCAAAAGTTGCCTATATTTGGCAATTTGTTCTTCATCATCCTTCTGGTTTTTCTTTGCTTTCCCATCTTCTTTTACAGTGACTCTGTCATCACCTAGCAACAACAAAATATCAATTCTTTTAATATACAGAAGTCATTTCTATTGTTTCACTCTCATAGTCATTCCAGCACCCAACTAAAAGATGCTTTTAGATACAGTGAAGTGATACAATACTGAAAGGAGACAAACCTTTCAATATTAAATGACTTACATGGAAGACTCACGTCTTGTTTATAAGAAAAATCAGTTGCAATATAAGCTAATAGTGTCATAGTACCATGGGAAACCCTGGGAAACCTCCTTTTATTAAAATTTCTATCTCAAAATATTTTGGAGTCACATAACAACATCCTGATACTTCTTTTCCTTACCAAACTGCAAAAGAGCAGGGATCGCATTTTATTCTTCTTTATGCCCTCCATCAGCCAGTGTAGTGGCCATAAATGTTACGTTCAGTAACAACAACAAAAACCACCACTGCCATCCAGTCAATTCCCACTCATAGCATCTCTATTGTGGGATGAATTTGGTACATGGATTTAGCTGTTCAGACTAAAGAGAGACAATGGAACTTGGTTATAATCCAAACCTAAGAAACCTAGGTCCTTTCTATTTGATGGTAAGTAGGCATGCTCAGGGTCTTATTAACATATTAAGAATAAAAATGAATAAATTAAGAGTTAATCAAATTAATTTGCATATGTGGACAAATAATCACTTTTCTATTCCCTCATTTTATAAAAAATAATTAGAATACAACAGAACAGTATAAAATTCATGGGCAACAGATTCCAAGGAAAACTAAGATGTGAAATGTTTGCTTGCTCTATATTTCCACTCTAATTCCTTTTTAAGTCAAAAACATAATTTAAGAACCTGGGTTTTAATGCAAAACATAAAAACTTATAAATTGACTAAATTGATAAAATTTAGCAGTAGTGTAGTGAAGACCCTCCCTTCTATGAGCTATGGCTAACGGTCCACTAGAAACGTCTGACATTACTATGCTAGCTATGAAATATCAATGTTAATAGATTGTTTTTATATCTTAAAAAAGGTAAAATCAAATATTTATATAGTTCTTTTCTTTCTAAATGAATAAAAAATGGTCCAGGGCATTCTTTCCATCCTATCACTCTTTTACATGTTCACTCAAACAGCTGAAAGTCATTTTTTTTCTATTTGAGCTTTGTGCCACAATAATAATGCTGGATGGAACTCTGTCATGTATCCCATAATTCAATGGATAAAACATCAGGAGTAAATTAACAAAATGGCAATGTATTTCTTTCTATTAAAAGCTTACTTCTGAAAACATAATTAGAAGCAAGCTCCTTCCAGGTTGAAATTTTAGTGGTAAGTCTCTGATGGCCTATTTTAAATTGATTTTTTCCAGTGCTAAAATGCTACTTTCTGAACCTCTAAAATGTGGGATAACTCATGTAGGTCTTTTTTGTCCCAATTCAAAGACAACAATTTGTGAAAGTCTTAATACTATATAAGGAGTAGAAAAAATATTTTAATAGTAAGAAAAACTCTGTTATGTTTACAAATACCACCAAGAACATCTACTAACTCTAAGAGAACTCTCAAATATACTAATGTATCAATCAGAGGTACTACATTACCAATTACAGTAAGCCAGCAAACAACTAAAATGTTTAATAAAAATGTATGCTTTCAAAAGTCTGAGTAATATATTTCAAACAAATAAGTTTTAGAAGAAATACAAGCAGTAATGTTCCTTAGAAGTGAAGAAGATGAGAATCTGGCTTGCATACTTTGGACATGTCATCAGGAAAGAGCAATTGCAGAAAAGAGCAATTGCAGAGAAGGACAATATGTTGGTAAATTAGAAATTCTTAATGACAAGTCAGTGAAACCCTCATGAGATGGACTGACACAACTGTCACAAAAAAGGACTGAAACATACAATCATGAAGATGGCACAAGAGTAGTCACTGTTTCTTTCTGTTACACACAAGGTTGCCAAGAGTCAGAACAGACTCAATGGCAACTAACAACATTTCTAACAAAAAGCTATTAATACTTATTTTTTAACAAAAAAAAAAAAATATATGAAAAGAGGTAGTATGCTAAGCACTTTACATACATCATCTCAATCATGTACTAATACATAAATGCTTACTCGTTCATAGTATTACCTGACTTAATGTTAATGTTATCTTTAGTCAGATATCCCAAACCAATCAAAGAAACCTATCTGAAAAAAGTGGACCAAATCTTTACAAGCGTAAATGTTATCCTTTTTCAGTTGTATCTTACAGCTGCTAGTAAAACTACGCAGAATTTTTATAAAAGTGATAGCTAACTACAAAGTTATATGAATAAAAAGAAAACATAGATTAAAAAAACAGCACAGCTTTCTTTACATGTAAGGAGGAAAAGTCCATAAAGACTATTTGAAAAAGAACTTGGCTGTCCTGTGTACGCTCAAAAATAAAATGGTCATTGAATTGTTCAGAATGCCAAAAAATTTAATAAGCAACAGCCACCAAGGACTTAAGAAAATGTGAAAGCTTTTGTGCCCAACATAACTACCATTGAAAATCACACACTTTTTCAAAGACTCTTAAATACTTAGGCAATTATGTGGTTTTACAAATATAAGATGACTGAACAAAGAAACTAGAATGATTAAACATGATTTTCCATCCCATTTGTGGAACACAGTTCAAGAGAAGTATTTTATGAAAAATAGTACCATCTTCAGTAGCTTAAAAGAAACAAGTGAAACAAGAATCATCTTAGCCTAATCAGAAGCTAAGAAATCAAAGTTTAATAATCCTATAGAAATATTAAAGAAGCATTTTACGCTTTATTTAATTTGCCACATGAGCTATGAAAAAAACACACATACAAATATAAAACCAAAGACAGCTATAAAAATTTTTAAGCTATAACTCAAAGAAAGGATATTCATTCCTGCCAATTTAAAACATAAATTTAAAATTTATGAATTCTTTATTTGATATCAACACTAAACCTTCTATAAATTTTGCATGACTGTTATCTTCTCTACTAGATTAAAAAAAAAAAAAAAAAAGATGTGATGGTATTGGGCAGACAGTATCAACCCAAAGTTGACATGAAACTACAATCAAGTAACCCACTTTCTAGAGACAGTGCATTACACCTATGCCTCATTTATTATCTCATTATCCAAAATTTCACATATATAACCAAAGCAAAAATTCTAGTATCCAACTATTCTGCAAATTAACAAGATACGTGTGGCAGTAACAAATGCTGAGGTGTAAGATCAGAGGAAAGCCGGCTGTGATGGTTTATGTTGTATCAACTTGATGGGGCCATGACTCTCATTAGTTTGGCAGTTATGTAACAATGTAGTTATCCTCAATTTTGTGATCTGATGTGGTCACCCTCCATTTTCATATAATTCCTGTTTTTGCATAACCACCACCAAAAAAAGTAAAAGCAAGTGTTGTTTTTCTCTGAGTGGAAGACAGCAACATGCCCATATGACCCAACCACACTTTCACCTCCTGCAGCCCCACCTACCTAGTGAGGGCTACCGCTTGCTTCTGCACTAACTGGACAACGATACACGACGGTCAAGAAGAACCTAATTCACCTTTAACGGCTCTTCACAAACAGTAAATAGAGATCTGTGCAGCCACTCTTATATTCTATCACACCCACCAAAAGACAGGTGGTGAATACATAAGTGCTATCAAGGAGCGAACAGAGGAGCACAGTACCCTTCTTACTCAGATACTTCCAAACAAAACAAAGAAAATGAAAATCTTGGATGAATCACTGCAACACACAATTACCAATTAAATATAAATATAACAAAACAAAATACAATGTCTCAGAGACAAAAGACCATCACAGTCCACAAAACGAAGCAAGATAAAGCAGTAGAAACAAGGGACCAAGATATAGACCCAGAGCATATCCCCGAGGAAGCAACAGCACTGGAGCTCCCTGATAAGGAATTAAAAAGAATTATATTTAGAACCTTCAATGGATTGAGAGACAAATCAAGGAAAACACTGACAAAATTAAGGAAAACACAGATAAAACCTAGAACAATTTTGGAAGACAATATAAGAACAAAATGACAGAACAAATGAAAAATTAGAAATGATTCAAAATCTACAGATAGAAATCCAGAAGATTAATACTAAATTTTCAGGAATAGATAACATACTGAAAGGGCAAATGAGCAGAATCTATTCAATGGAAGACAGAATTAGTGAGA